GCCCCGATTGGCACGCCTGCCTTCGAGGACCGCACTCTGCAGGCCATTGTGGCCGGCCATCAGCGTCTGCTCGACGCGCTCGTCGCCTTCTCCAGCGACAGCTGGGACTTTGCCGTCCAAGGCGCCAACCTGCTGCTCCGCTACTGTGGATCTCCCCGTCTCCTCTATTGGTGTCGTCTGCTCGCCCCCTCTCCCTCCCTCCTCGCCACCGCCCGTGCTCACGATGACGCGAAGATGGCTGCATTCGAGCGCATCTCCCGCGCGGGCGCCCTGCCTTTGTCCGCGCGACGGCAGGTGCAGCTCCCCATCCGGCTGGGGGGCTTCGGTTTGGTGTCAACGGCGCGTGTGGCGTCGGCTGCGTATCTGGGCTCGGTGGCTGCTACTGTGGGGGACGTGTGGGATCGTTTTCGTGGGCACTCCTGGATGCTTGGGACCGAAGCCGCCCTCTTGGCCCTGCCTTGGCTCGCCCAAGCTGCATCCGCCCGCACCGATCTCCTCGTCTCTATCCCCTCGGCCGCCGTTCCCCCCGTCTCGCAGTTCATCGCCCGCCCTCACGCTCGGCTGCAGCAGCGGCTGAGCGAGGCCCTTGCCAAGCAGGACTTCACTGTGCTGCTCGAGTCGTTCCCCGTCGGCAGCCGGGAGCGGGCGCGCCTCCTCGCCTGCCAGGGGCCCCTGTCGTCTGGCTGGCTCTCCGCCATCCCTGGCCAGTCGAGCGGCGTCAACCGGAAGTGCCTCAACAGCTTCGCCTACCGCATGGCCACTGCCGTCACCCTCGGCCTCCCTTTCCCCCTCGCCAACCTGTCGTCAACATGCACGTGTGGGGCGGCCATCGACGCACTCGGCGACCACTTCTTTCTCTGCCACCAGGCGACGGCGGAGCGCGTCTTCAAGCACAACACCCTGTTGGACGTGTTCAAGTCCATCCTGGCGGAAGTCGGCATTCCGGTCGTGGCAGAGGTGCCCCTCCGCTCTCTCGGCATCACCCCACCCGACTCGGACCCCAACAGCCAGCGCATGGACCTCTTCTTCACTGTGGACGGTGAGGGCATCCTCGCCGACGTCACCGTCCGCCACCCCTGCCGACCCGACAACTCCACCCCCCACCACCGCTCCGTCAATCGCACCAATGGCCGCCTGCCGGGCGGTGCCGTGGCGGCTTCGGGGGAGAGGGAGAAGGAGCGCAAGTATGGGGCCAACTGTCGGCAGCAGGGCTACACATTCATCCCCCTCGCGGCGGAGACGTTCGGCTGTTAGGGTGGGAAGACTCTCACCCTGCTTCGCCGCCTAGCGCGACGCCGCGTTCCACGACCCGCCAGCTCTGCAGAAGATCGTGTGTTTTTTCATGAGGGTGTCATGAACCACTGAAGGCAGTGTTTGTCGGTGGCATTGATGCGATGGAATGCTTTTCAAGTGTCCTGCCGCGCGCATCGTGCGGCCGATGGTCGGACACAGCAACGCGCAGGTCTGTTTCCTGAGGACCTCATCTCTCGAGGGCCCTACAGGGCGCAAACCCGCACGTTCATCTGCCAGGACCGGCCATGAGGGGCTTGTTTTGGAGCTGAGGTTGTGGTTTGGGTTTGGCCTACATGGTGTCCTGCTGGCGTTTGAGCTGCTTGTCGCCTGTGATGATGTCAGATTGTCGGTTTGGTTTGTGTCTGGATGCTGCGGCCGTTCATGTCGTGCGGTTCCCTTGTGTTTCCACGATCGTGTTCGTTGTCTATGCACGTACATTACCGACTCCAGATCAGATTTTCTGATCGCTCATGCTTCTGTGAAAGTCAATTTTCACAACAGCGAAGAAAGACTTTGACACGCTCTTTGAGAGCTTCCCGGCTGGCAGCCGTGATCGATGCCGCCTCCTCTCCTGCCTGGGGCCTCTGTCGTCTGGCTGGCTGTCGGCCATCCCCGCCTATACCCGAGGTGACAAGCGCAAGTGCCTGAACAACTACGCCTACCGCATGACCACTGCCCTTACCCTCGGCCTCCCCTTCCCCCTCGCCAACCTGTCGTCCACATGCACGTGCGGGGCGACTATCGACGCACTGGGCGACCACTTCTTCCTCTGCCACCAGGCGACGGCCGAGCGTGTGTTGTATATACAGGCAATGGGACCTTGAACCCTAGTCCTCGCCGGAGGCTCGGCCATACGGTTCAAGGTCCCATTGCCTGTACAAAGGAAGGTTAAGGGTTTGTAGGGCGCAGATGGGTGTCAAACAAGCTGCTATGCTGGGGGCCGGAGGCAGGAGGCAGCAGCAATTAAAGGCACTTTGAAAGCAACTTATTTTAAATCTTTGAAAGAAAGGAGGCGCCGAGATATAGCAGTCTTTAAAGCCAGTGAATGAAAGCACTTAGAAAACCTATGCAAGTGTCTTATCAGATCGCCATAGGGTGCAGATGGGTGTCAAACAAGCTGCTATGCTGGGGGCCGGAGGCAGGAGGCAGCAGCAATTAAAGGCACTTTGAAAGCAACTTATTGTAAACCTTCCTTTGTAACTCCGGCTCGGCCATAGGGTTCAAGGTCCCATTGCCTGTATATACAACACACATTGGCCGTCGCTGGTCCCGGATCGCTCCGGCCCCGAGATGCCCCCAACGCAGCTCCTTCTCCCCTCTTCTCTCTCCCCTCTTCTCTCCCGCATGGGCATCTTATCGGCTCTTGTCTGTCTGGTCGTTTTCCTTTCGTATCTATTGACGGTTCTTGCGCCGCCCAAGAAGTATTATGGAACGCCAGACTTTCCCAGCGCGTGGCTCCATCGGCCCCATAGCTGCAGGTACATCTGCCCAGCGCGCTCCATGTGGGGTCTAAGGCTTCTTTTGCGTGTGTGTCTTGCGTGGGTGACACTGTGGCTCTTGCTTAGTTGGTACTACATTGACGCTGCGCAGGCCCGCAAGTACGATGACTTGCGAGAGTCCTGCGAAATGGCAAAGGAAGATATGAATGGAGACGTGGTCAGTGATCGCGCTGGTGGCACGCACTGAATTCGCATCCATCTATTCGCTTGTCTGTCTGGCTGCAGCTGGTTATTGACGATGACTACGAGTCAAGGTGGCTGGCGGAGTACCTCCGCTCACAAGGGGAGACTGGTCTATCATATTGGACCTTGTTCAAGAGAGTAAACAGCTACATGTCATCGCCAGCTAGGGTGTGTCGCCTGCCTGGTATCTGCGCTTGTCAGCTGGGAGATTGGCCGACTGAGCAGCCGGATAAGATGCCGGATCTCGGAGGAACAGCAACAGGTCATTCGCGCACAAGCCTATGCATGTATGCATGCATAGATTGGTCCTGTGTCGCTTGCTGTTTTGCGACAGAACGCTGTGGGTGGGTCCCAGGGGGTGATTGGGATTGGAATGGGGCTGCAGCTGGGTCGTGGGAGGTTCGTTGGGATAACAGAGAGCCCTGGTAGTTGAGCTACATGATCATTGATGTGATAATGTGTGGAGCGCGCTTGCCTGCGTCGTTCAGGGACGCGTCACATGGATGGGGGGTCGTGTCAGTCAAAGGGGCTGAATACGACGAGCCCTGGGACCTGGTCATGGTGTCAAGTGCCCACTCTACCTCCCGTCCTGCCATCGTAAGCAACCGAAAGGATGGACGTATATACATGTGCTTGCAGGCATTGATTGGTCTCGTCTCTTTCCTTCCTTCCTGTGTGCAGTGTGAGAAAAGAGAGAGCGCCTGTGGTCAGACCCAATCGATACATTTGCTACCTTCAGCGACCCTTGTGGTTGTCCCTCTGCTTCAGTTGATGCTCCCACCGTCATGATCCGAACGGCCACAGCCTTTCCTGCGACGCCTGCAGATCAGGTGTTCGAAGTAAACCTGACCTTCTCGGACCCGATCAACAACCTGAGTTTCGACGTCGATTTCACCAACCCAGCCAGCTGGCAGACCATTGGAGGGGTGGGGGGAGCCGTCGCGTCGATGCAACAGACCGGCACACACGAAATCAAGGAGACGATAAGGGCCGTGCAGCCGGGGTGGGTCACATTACAGGTGAAGGACATGGTGTTTACGCGCACGGCCGATGGGCAGCAAAACACAGCTTCAAACAAACTCATTTTCTACTCTGGTTGGCACCATGTACATAAGCAACATTTCTACCGGCCTGGACTGGTGCATGCCCCACGTATCAGGTTGCCACATGGCGTGGAGTGAAGACAAAAGTGTGGATCCTTCAGAGACACTGAGCGCATACAGGTACACATGCACGCGTGGAGACACCAATTCAAACGGATATATACATGCATACATACACGCGTTTCCCGCTCTCTCTCTCTTCCCTTCTTTCCCCCCTTCTAGTTGGTGGCATTGCGGCAGGTACAGTCTCGTTGGTGGCAGACAGTCAAAGTGCCTCACAGACACATTGGGCATGTGTGTGTGTGTGTGTCCAGGTTGTGCAAGGACCGGCCTGCATGCCAGATTTATGTGTTCGAAGCTGTGAGCGGCTTGCCGGGAGGCGGCACCCTCCCGTCAGCCTGTCACATCTATGAAGACCCCGATTTTAGCGGCCCTGTCGATCCCAGTAAAGTCAAAAGCACGCGATCATGCGCCGAGAGGACAGGTGCATACACGCATACACAGTAGGTAGCGAAAGCACGTAACAATACATAACGCATTGATGCTTGCAGACGTCACCGCTCCCAGGCTGTCTCTGGTGCGCAAAGTGGACGGATCGGGAGCCATCCTGGGCGGCGGCACTCTCAACGCCTTCTATGACCACTCGAAGAACATTCACATGCACGTGGACATCTTCCTGAGCGAACCCATCAAGTACTTTGACCCCAGTGATCTCGAGGTCACTGGGCAAAACTGTTCCATCTCTGGCGAGCTGGGCTTCGGTGGGGGATCTGCCGTCTTGAAGAAGAAATCCAATGGCATCGGCACGACCTGGCCCCCGTGGGACACACATTTCCGCCTCTTGGTGAGTCAGTCAGACACGCGCGCACATTTGAATCACCAAGTGTCACCTGTCTTTTGTTCGCCAGCTACGAATGGACGAGAGTCCTCCGTGGTTCGTTACGGGGAAGGTAACGATCGCACTGAGCCCCTCGTCAAACGCAAAGGACTTCTCCAACAGCCCCATCGCCCCTGGATCGGCCAGTATCGAATTCAACATCATCCCAGGTCACTCACATGTGACACTGCAGCGCGAAAAGACGAACGATAAATGCGTTGTCTCTCCGTCGCTGGTGTGCGTGCAGGGTGCGACACAATGCAGAGAATGAACGACACGGTTCTGACGGGCGGCACTCTGAAGGACTGGATGGGTGTGCCTGGGCATGATTTCGGATCGTGTGCTTACACGTGTCGAGTGGAGCCCTCGTGCAGTGGGTTCAGCTTCAACAAAAGCGACGGCACGTGTTGCCTCAAGTGGGGACCACAGGAGGATGGGGAGGGAGGGTGGGTGCCCTCAGCCATGACGTCAATCGACTCGGCCGTGCGCGACTGTCAATGCGCCACTGACTGCTTTGGTCAGTCCACGCTTCACGTTTACTGCACGTACGAGACACACTGCGCGCGATTGGGGCTCGTTTCACTTGCAGAAGTTTTTCTGCCACAAGTGTGTGGCGACGGCATTGTTTCGGGCAATGAGACCTGTGACGACGGCAACGAGGCATCCTTGGATGGATGCTCCGCTACATGCCAAGAGGAAGATGGGTGGTTGTGCATGACGCCAGGCCAGCTGTGCTCACGTAGGGCAAATACCAACAAACATGTTGTGTGAAAGCAGCATGCGTGCTGATGTGGGAATCGCCGCCCCTCTGCCGGCTCCTTTTTTCTCCCGTTCAGCTCTAGTGTGCGGCGATGGACTGCTCGCTGGCTCCGAACAATGTGATGACAACAACACCGCGTCTCTCGACGGGTGCTCTGATGCGTGCCAGATTGAGGAGGGATGGACCTGTCCCACGCCAGGGGAGCTTTGCGCACCAATCTGCGGCGATGGCCTCTTGAAGGGAAACGAGCAGTGTGACGATGGGGGCATAAACAATGGTGTGTCAAGCGGCGGGTACTGCAGACGAGACACGCCAGCGCATTGATTCTGTCGTCTGTCTGCATTCACGATGTGGTGTCCTCCTCCGTCTAGGCGATGGCTGCAGCGGTAGCTGCGGCATAGAATCAGGCTGGCTGTGTCCGACGCCGGGATCACCATGCGTTCGTAAGCACACAGGGAGACGACAGGGCTGTGTGTGGTTGCTGCCTGCATGTTGTCTGTCTGTCTGTCACTCAGCCAAGTGTGGCGACGACATTGTTGTGGGAAACGAGACCTGCGACGATGGCAATGAGGCATCATTAGATGGATGCTCATCAATCTGCACCGTCGAGCCAGGGTGGACGTGCCCTATACCAGGGTCGCTCTGCGGTGAGAGCGACACAACGAGCCACGCTTGGCTGTCTCATTGGCTTGTCTGTCTGCATGGGTCAGTTCGCATACCGACGGAACCCCCCACTACTGATAGCTGCTTTTGCTCAGAGGGCTTCGGCTGTGGTCAGCAGGCTTCATATACTCTAACCATTAATGTGACTGCTATGTCCTGCATACGTGCAGTCAACAACGTGTGCAGCAACTGTAGACTCGCATTCGGTCGGTCGGTCGGTCGGTCGGATGCGCCTGATTGCATGTGCCAAACACGTGACTGGACAGTGTCTTTGATATTTGATACATCATGTGCAGACACTCCGGTGCGGTATGCGTGCTACCAGGACTGGACCGCTGACGAGTGCACGGAAGCCGGTGCAAACTACACATGGTGCGGCACAGGTGAGCGCGCGGTTTACCAATTCCTTCCCGTCTGTCTGATCGCCACTGTCCTTCACTGTTGTGTAGCCCCGACGCCGCCCCCCTCACTGATCGATGACATCACCGATGACGTCGATAAGCTCAAAGTGAGCATGGCAGAGAGTGAGCCAGTCGCATCCCTTCCTGCCTCAGATCGACACTGACCCCTCACGTGTTGCCTTCCCACCATAGGACGAGCAGGCCCTGAACGAGACGCAGGTGGGTGATGCCATCGACGAGCTGCTGGATGAAGAAGAATCGGGCGGCCCCACCGCCCCGCCAATCGACTCGGTGGATGCCTTCGCTGAGCGGCTGGTGCGCGCGGTCCAGGTGGCCAACGCCCTCAAGAACAAGGACATGGACGGCGTCTTGCTTGAAAGAAATATCACCGATGGCGACGTCAAGGCACAGAAGCGAGTCATCATGAGGGCACTGCTCAAAGACATCGCTAAGGTGACACGACCGACACGCCGTATGAACTCACGTTGCCAGAATGCACCCCGTGCTGTCTTGTGCTTTGCTTGCTATCCCTGCACGTCATGTTGTGCGTTAGGTGGCGACTGAGCGATCGACTGGCGGTCTCGTCGGCGTGGCGAGCACCCCATCTGAGGTGCTCCTGTCGGCCGTCACACTTGCGACAACGGTAGAGGCGGCCGACGAGGCAGAGAGCGCCGACATTGACGACACCTCGACGGCGGTCTCGGCATTCACCTCTCTCGCGAACATCTCGAAGGACGCCATCGCACAGGCAGACGACGCAACTGCAGCGGGGACAGCCAAGGCTCTCAGTGGCGTCGAACATTATCTGGACGCAGCAGCGGGCCTCTTCAGACAGCTTAAACGCACTGCTAAGTCCCCGCCAGCGCCGCAGGCGAGTCGACGGCTGACGGCCGACGCATATCATAATATGTCATCTGATATCCACACGTCCACGGCGTGGCTGGGGGACGGCCTCGCGGGCAGCCTTGCCGCGTCTGCCCGAGACAGCGTGGAGGTCGTCAGCCCAAGCGGAGGCACACATATCAAAGTGGCGGACCCGGCCAGAGTCAGCGGGCAACCCGTATTGACGATGACCACGGCCCAGCAACCCGTGGCTGTGAGCTTTCCCTCATCAGTCGACTCTTCAACGGCCAGCTGCAGCGGGGCTCAGAGCGCCCAGAGCATACAGATGACCTTCTGGTCCCAGGATCCGTACACCTATGCTGACAGCGACGTTCCGATCAACGAGACGCAGACCAACAACACCATCAAGAGCGCTGCCCAGGGCACCCTCACCGTGGAGGTGTGTAGCATAAATGTATCTCTAGCCTTAAGCATGCTGCCCTTCGTCTGCTCTGCTTGTTTGCCTCCCTCAGAGTCGCCAGTGTGGCAGTGCTTTGGCACTGCGTTCGTCCAGCGTCGACGAGCCATTTCGTCTCTTCCTGCCGCGGCCCTCTGCGACCCATCTGAGGCGCCTGCAATCGGCATCAGTGAACCGGACAGTGACTGTGGAGGAGGCGTGTGGGTTCTGGAACGACGCGACGCACCAATGGGACACACAAGGTACATTTTTGGACTCCATTTCTTTGGAGGGACGCACACACACACATGCACGCATGCACATGTATCAATGCATGAATCAATAATCACTTGTAGGGTGCCGCACAAGCGAAGCTCGCTCGAATGCTACCACTTTGTGCTGTGAGTGCGGTCACCTGACATCCTTCAGTTCACTTTTCAGGTGAGAGGCGATGCATCGCCGCATTTCAGGTGACGTTGCCTTTCCGTCTGCATGGGTGCATACAGGAGTGTGATTCGGGAGAGCAGCATTGAGGATGTGCTGGGTGGCGCCGGGGACTCCCTCAAGTGAGCACTGAGAGGATCGTGCGAGCCAGTATCATCGTAAATCGGTACCGTGCTCTTACGCATGGATGTAGGAACATGGCTGACATTGACGCATGGGTCAAGAACATCGCGGGGACATTTGTGCTCGTCATGATCGCTATCCACCTCGTATGTTTGGCGCTATCGATATACTTCGACTGTCGTCATCCGTACGCAAACACACTACCAAAGTGCAATGAACGTGGCCATACTACGCTGCTCACGTCTCTCTCTCTCTCTGTCCACCCGTGTGTAGCATCACAGATCAGATTCTGCTCGACATTGTCAGCAACACAATTTACCAATCCACAACACACAAACAACAGCCTCTGTCTGTCTGTCTGTCTGTCTGGTCAGTGGATGACCGATCCACTTCTAGACGCGAGACACGCGGCGGTAAGTGAGTTCGTGAGTGCGTGAGTGCGTGAGTTGTGTGTGGGTAGAGCAGAGCCTGCCTTGCCGTCCATGCATGCATGGATACGTACCCTCCCTCTCTCCTTGGCTGGCTGACTTTCAGCGGACTCGTGTCCAGAAGGGCTTGCAATCTTGCACCCGCAGGGCCTACCATCCCTGGTGGTGTGATTTCTTCATATGCCGCCTGTTCGGGGGCATCTATCTTCACTGCAGAAAGCGAGAGCCCACCATGCACCTACAAGAGCTGCGCACTCTCAGGTGCGCCGCGCCCGATAGTTAGCACCCACGGCTGAGTCTGACACGCGGGCGGACGGCCCGTCCCCCCCTTGCCTGGCCTGCCTCAGGTCTGTCCGTCATGAGCTGATGCATGAGCCGACCAAGGGGCGGACCGAGGGCTTCACCAGCATCGAAGCTGTGGCTACCAAGGAGGTCACAAAGACAAGCCCTGTCTCCGTGTATTCGGCCTCCACAGAACACACGAAGCTGCGCAGTCGTGTGCACGAGCCGGTGAAGCCGCTGAACGACTTGATCAAAGAGTCTTGGCGCTCGGCGAAACCCAAAGAAACAGTAGACTCCCGGTTGATCGCCAACAAGGCCATGTCGGGGCTCAGCGATGTGTCTCTCTCGGAGTTCGTCATCAGCGGTGAGTTGTCGCCCCGCAAACGCATCATCAAACATGTCGGCTCGGAAGGAGGGTCGGATTCCGAGGACCGGACGCCCGTCGACGAGCCACGAGTCAGAGAGCTGTCGTTTACCCCCAGTGACCAGGCTGTGGTCGATGCCAGAGGCATGCGGTCCATGGTGGGGCCAGACAAGGACTGGAAGGACCGACCCAAGGACGTCAAATTGATCAAGTAAGCAAGCAAATGGCCGGCTGCCTGCCCGTCTCTTTCACTGCCTCTGTCTGCAACCAACGGTAACCCATTGAGTACGTGTCTTACTTACTGAATTGCTTGACGCAGGAGTGGCGTCTTGAAGGAGGCGCTCCGCCAGCGTCTGTTGCTGGAGCTGCAGCGTCAGCAGGCCGCGGCTGTCATCATTCAGAGACGCTGGCGGGCCATTCTGGAGCGCATGGTGGCCGAAGCCGACGAACAGAAGGCTCAGGAGGCTCTCTGCGAGGGGCAAGCGGAGGTAAATGAGGCGCCCGTGCGGCCGGCACTCATTGGGCGCCCCCAGCTGCAGCAGGACACGGCCGACGCGACGAGACACGCACGCCATATCCAGTTCGCCAACATGGGCGAGCAGGTCGGCGATGCCGACTCCCCCATGTCCATCCACCGCCTGCAGACGGGCATGTCCGTCCAGCCGGGCCTTGAGAAGATCATGTCGACAGTGCGGGATGACATCGAGGGTGACACCGACAGCGCCGGTGGCGTATCGCCAAAGCTGCACACTGGCCAGACAATCCCCATCGACGCTTACTTCGGTGAAGAACCCGACGAACAAGCTGACGTGAAGCTGACGGTGGACCGTGAGACCAAGGGCTGTAAGACAGGCTACAAGAAGTCCGTGTCAATCGTGGCCGAAGGAGACGGCAAAGGAGGAAAGAAGCGAACGGTTGCCGCAGCACGCCGCAAGTCTGTGACCGACTCGTGGCTCGATGTCAATGCCGGTAGGTAGTTACACATAGGTAGGTTATGTGTGTTGTAATATATCTAATGTCTATTTCTCCTTTGGCATGCAGAGGTCGACTTGATGGTGACTCTGTGGGGCGTCATGGCTGCTGTGTATAAATACAATGTGCCCTGTTTCTCTCAGGTGACCCGGACTCTCCGGCGAGTCGAATACGTTGAGTGGGGTCCAAGCAAGATGTTCCGTGAGGTGGTCAGACGGGACCATCCGCTGTTCAAGCTGTTCATACTGAACCCAACGTCTGCTTCACAGAGAGAGACAACAAAAAACGCACAAAGACACGGATAGAGATGTCTGCTCCTGTCTTTTGTGTGTCGCATGCTTTGTCAGGTATACTGCCGTGCAGCGCACCTTGTTCTTCGGCTCCATTAGTTTGGGCATCCTCACCATGTGCGCCGTGTTCTTTGACCGACCGAGGCAGGGAGCGGGTGACACCGTCTTGTTGGCCTTCAATGGAAATGAGATCGCTTGGCAACTGACGTTGCGGCAACTAGTCGTGCTCCTCTGGTAAGCAAACACTAATGACTAATCAAAAGGTTGTGTCGCCGGGCGGGCTGGCTGCTACCTGGGTGGCACATTTTCTCTGATTCTCCGTGTAGGTCCATCATCCTGGCCAAACCGATCCCCTTGGCGCTCATCCTCCTCTTCCGCAAGGCCGTACCCCACATTCGACCCTCTGCCCGAAGAAGCAGTAAGGGGAAAAAAATGCGTGCGTCTTCTGTGGCTGCGGTGTGCGTGCATATTTGTGTACGTGCAGCTGCCTATTCACTCAAGACCGGCCTGTCTCAGAAAACTGCCTTCTTGCGTACGGTTGGCAGACCGGTCGCTGACATCACTGGCCGGCACTCTGGTAAGGCCTGCCTGTCCAAGGCGAAAGAGAAAACGCCTCTGTGGTATCCACCTGCACTGCCTTGCCCATCTTGTAGGTCATTTCCCACTTTCGACGAAGATGGCTGTGCTGTTTCGTTGGCGCCTGAAGGAGCGGATCGGCATCGCGATCGGGCTGCTGTATTGGTTCGCATGTGATGCCTTCCTGCTCCTTTTCGCCTTCTCTGAGCGGCTGGCGGAGTCCACTCCCGAGCGGCCGCCGAGGATCATCTACCAAGTGAGCAGATAGGAGCACATACACTACACACACCATGAGACCATGTGGTACGTGACCCAGTGTGCGTATCAACAGATTTGGACACAGCATGGTTTGTGTATGTGTGCAGGACTTCGTGCTCGCGTGTACGTGCACACACTGGCCATGTGCTCCATGGATGCGGGCATGTCATGAATGCGCTCACGAGACCCCACTGTGTCGTTTGCGTGCAATTGCAGGCACAGTCGAGCTGCTCAACTCGTTCATTATTCAGCCGATTCTCTTTTTTATGGTGTTATCTCTGCTGCTAATGGCCATCCTCCGCATTGGCGTATGCGACTGGGTCGTGTGGTTCATGCCACACTGGTTCGACTTCTCATTCTCGGTCCGTACGGCCGTCAGTCACACGCACACACGCACAAATACAATACCGACATGCCAGCAGTCGGGTTGATGTTTTGTGTGCTTCCATGGCGTACACACGTGCAGGGTGCTCAGGGAATCCACGAGCTGACCATCCAGCTCCAGGCCATCACCGACACACACGAACTCGCCAGAGGCATTCTTGGATTCGCGTAAGCAAAATGTTTATATGCATACACACACACATACATGATAGAACCCTGCGGCAAACACTTTGTGCGTATGTGTGTCTCCTGTGCTCAGGGGATTGAACATCGACTCGATAGGCATGGTGCAAGACGTCTTCACCTTCTGAGTGTTTAAGGTTTAAATGCTTACAGCCAGAGCGTAAAGGTGCTTGTTTTTCGGCCATTTTAAAGGTGGGACAGGCGTCTGATTGTCGCCTTGTTAGTAGTGACACACTGTCGGACTCTTGTTTAGTAATTTGCCCGCTAGACCCGTTAATTTAGTGCTTGCTTGGGGAGGTGCTTTTGAATACTAAATCCTTACCCAGCTGTCTGCCTCTTTGCTTGCAGCCAGCTGCCCGTCCGTGAGTCTGTCTGTCATGTATGCACATATCAGTTCAGAGTCTCGAAACCGACGAAGGCCGGCGTCGGATTCAGTGCTTCTGACGCCACTCGTCGAGTTCGACCACATGACATTCGAATTCGTGGGTCGCCACACGCCGCTTCATCATATGACCAGCCTCCCCCCGTATCTGCTGTTGGCCATGGCCGCTGCTGCTGCTGCTGCTGCTGGGTGTTCGTCATCTCACTCATTGGCCGAATATGACATGTAGGATGTCTTCGAAGACCGCCTGACGTTTTTGCTGTGGCTCGCCCAGTGGGCAAGAAGCGTCCGATCAGGGTTTGTTACTAGCCGTTTTTCCCTGTGTTCGCTTCCAAGCTATGTAGCTTGACACACTGAAGCAAGGCGAGTCAGTGAGGTTGGTTGGGAGAGATTCCCTTCCGTAGAAGCGCTCACCGCGCCCATTGGCTTTACTCACTGAATCATATACACACACTCCAAGTCCAAACGTGCATGGGCAAGTGTGCGCACAGAGACATTCATCATATACACATAATCCAAGTCCAAACGTGCATGGGCAAGTGTGCGCACAGAGACATTCATCGTATGCACACACTCCAAGCCGACGCGTGTATGGGCAGGTGTGCGCACACAGACATTCATCATATGCACACACTCCAAGTGCAAACGTGCATGCGCAGGTGTGCGCACACAGACATTCATCATATGCACACACTCCAAATCGACGCGTGCATGAGCAGGTGTGCGCGCAGAGACATTCATCATATACCCACACTCCAAATCGACGCGTGCATGAGCAGGTGTGCGCGCAGAGACATTCATCGTATGCACACACTCCAAGCCGACGCGTGTATGGGCAGGTGTGCGCACACAGGGCAACATTCATCATATGCACACACTCCAAGTCCAAACGCGCATGGGCAAGTGTGCGCACAGACATTCATCATATACACATAATCCAAGTCGACGCGTGCATGGGCAGGTGTGCGCATAGAGACATTCATCATATGCACACACTCCAAGTCGACGCGTGCATGCGCAGGTGTGCGCACACAGACATTCATCATATACACACTCCAAGTCGACACGTGCATGAGCAGGTGTGCGCATACAGACATTCATCATATAGACACACTCCACACTCCAAGTCGACGCTTTCATGGGCAAGTGTGCGCACAGAGACATTCATCATATGCACACACTCCAAGTCCAAACGCGCATGGGCAAGTGTGCGCACAGAGACATTCATCATATACACATAATCCAAGTCGACGCTTCCATGGGCAAGTGTGCGCACAGAGACATTCATCATATACACATAATCCAAGTCGACGCGTGCATGCGCAGGTGTGCGCACAGAGACATTCATGACATACACGCACTCCAAGTCGATGCGTGGATGTGCAGGTGTGTGCACAGAGCCATTCATCATATACACACACTCCAAATCCAAACGGGAATGCGCAGGTGTGCGCACAGAGACATTCATTACATACACACCCCAAGTCGACACGTGCATGCGCAGGTGTGTGCACAGATACATTCATCATATACACACACTCCAAATCCAGAAGGGAATGCGCAGGTGTGCGCACAGAGACATTGAGACATTCATCATATACACGCATTCCAAGTCGACACGTGGATGCGCAGGTGTGCGCACAGAAACATTCATCATATACACACACTCCAAATCCAAACGGGAATGCGCAGGTGTGCGCACAGAGACATTGAGATATTCATCATATACACGAACTCCAAGTCCACACGTGCATGCGCAGGTGTGCGCACAGATCCAATCATCATATACACGCACTCCAAGTGAAAACGTGCACGCGCAGGTGTGCGCACATAGACATTCATCATATACACGCACTCCAAGTCCACACGTGTATGCGCACGTGCACGCGCAGGTGTGTGCACAGAGCCATTCATCATATACACACACTCCAAACCCAAACGTGCATGCGCAGGTGTGCGCACAGAGCCATTCATCATATACACAGACTCCAAGTCGACACGTGCATGCGCAGGTGTGAGACATTCATGATATACACACACTCCAAATCCACACCTGCATGCGCAGGTGTGTGCACAGATCCATTCATCATATACACACACTCCAAATCCACACCTGCATGCGCAGGTGTGTGCACAGATCCATTCATCATATACACACACTCCAAATCCACACCTGCATGCGCAGGTGTGTGCACAGATCCATTCATCATATACACCCTCCAAGTCG